CCGAAGCCCGGCTGAAGGCGGTCGTCCTCTCAAGGGGTGGCCGGGATGGCGGCGGCGGCGGCGGCTGGCATTTAAGTCGCCTTCCGAAGGCCAGGCGCCACCGAGGTTAAAGTACAGGCACATGAAAGAGCTAACCTACTTTCACCACAGGAGAGAGAAAATCGGATTTGTATTCGGCGGCCCTCCCCAACCCCATAGCGCTCTGAGCGCTGTGGACTGCAGGTCCCATTATCCCCAGCCCTCATGGTTATTTTGCCTGGGGTGGTGCTGGAGGAGGTCATTATTCACCTTATTCAGGCTTTCAGTTCCCACACAACAGTGTGATCAGGGCGGGGAGTGAATTGAATAGAAAGGGATAAAGTTTTTTTTTGGGGGGGGGAGGTCGAGGCTCACTTCCCTCACGCCGCGTTGGAGAAAGGGCGTTCGGGGTCCGCTGATGGCTGCAGAATGTCCGAAAATTAGGACCAGCTCTGGATTGAAAGAACTGGATGTGGGAGCCCCCCTTTGAGCCGGTGATCAGCAGCGCTTGCAGTCACTTGCAGAAAAGGAAAAACCAGTGGTTGTTATGACTCATCTCTGACAATGGGCACAAGGGAAGGGGGACCGAAATTGTCACAGCGAGAGTGGTAGCTTTGGAAAGTGGAATTCGATTTTAAAAAGCGGTTTGTTTCTTGGCATCTGTTTGCTAACAAAAATCAGTCTCTTAAATGTGACTGGTTTTCCTCATGACTGCATCTGGCGATTATTCTCTCTAATCATAGGGTTGTTACTACAAGTTAGAAGTGACTTGAAAAGGACATAACAGACGCACGCACGCACGCACAGGCTGTTGGTTCAAGGCGATGGCCTTGGCTATGGTGTGTAGAGTCACAGACTTTAACAGGCAAGAATGACACAGCAAAATGATTGTAAGACGGTAAAATGTCAGAGGCATTTGAAATCTGGATTTACTGTAGCTAAGAGTTTTTTTAGTTAGAGGCTGATTGAGGATAAAGACAAATGTATTGTTTACTGTTAACTATAAAGTCGTTTCAGATTTAAATTGCCCCTGTAAATAACTGACTTTCCAAAAGCTCTATTATTAACAGTCCTCCTCAGATCTTGCAAAATGAAGGCTGTCACTTCCTTTGGAGAGGAAAATCTACTGCCTTCCATTTTCACTAACAATAATTGTCTTTCCTAATTTTGCTTTCTCCTGATCTGTCCAGATTACAACATCCTGTTTAGTAATTTTAGCTTCCAGTGAGATTTCAGGATTGGGTTGATCTAGAATGCACTTGTGCTTTTTTTAGCATCCCAGAGTGTGAGAACCAGTGTGGTGCAATGGATAGAATGTTGGACTAGAACTCCGGGGACATGGGTTCAAATCCCTGTGTCATCTGTGAAAATTCCTGAGGGGATAGCAACAGTAAATATTGCTTTGAACATCTCACAAACTTCCAAAGATCTTACTAGGGCCATGAGAATTCCTTCATTACTGCCCTCTGGAGTCTCAGTTGTCTGATTTCTTGCCTGCACTCTTAGTTTTGATTGATGATTAATACAGAAAATCTTTAGCAATTTTGATTTCTTTATTGCCAACACTACAATTACATAATTCTCTTGTGGTTTTCTTCTTCATCTTCTTTATGTTCAGCAATAATCTTTCAACTGCAATCCTGCTCAGAGATGGGAAAGTTAGAAGAAAGAAGTCAACAATTTTGTTAACTGTCAGTGAACCTAAAATCTAATTCAGTTAAGGTTAAGTTGGAGGAGACAAAAATTTAATAGTTAACTTGATATTAAATAGTTTTAACTTAAAACTTTAACTTAAAGTTAGGTGACTACCAGACAAATCCATTTCAGTGTTTTACTCCTCTTGCACACCACAGTTTAGGACAGATGTGAACAGTTCAAGTCACTCTTTACCATGTTTTCTGTTCAGCCCTTCTGTTGTATTGGAAAATCCCAAATAATGATTAGAGCAAGGCTTACCCACCACTCACCCACCCACTCCTGTGCTGTTCCTTCCTTCCTTCCTTCCTTCCTTCCTTCCTTCCAGAGAGAGAGAGAGCCCCCCCACTCCTGTGCTCTTCCTTCCTTCCTTCCTTCCTTCCTTCCTTCCTTCCTTCCTTCCAGAGAGAGAGAGAGAGAGAGAGAGAGAGAGAGTATGTATATATATTTCAAATGATGGAACAAAACCTGGGTCAATGCCATAATGAAGGATGTTAAAGAATAGCTCCTGACTTGTAAAGAATTCCTTTTCACACTCTCACTGATGGGATTTTTAGAAACAATAGCTAATTAAATAACAGGCATGTTGCTGTTCCTTTATCATGCCACTCAAGAGACATAATTGCAAGGCTGACTTTTACAACCCAGAATATTTAGGACCACAGTTCCCAGGATGATCATAAGCCATGCCATTTTCTACTTGGAACATTTGTCTCTCCCTTTCCTTCATTAGGATCATGATTGTTTCTACACATAAATATCCCTCAATACACTTTAGATTTATTAGTCATGATCACTTAACACAGATTAGTTGCCTCATGGGAATCTTTAGGTAGAACTGCTATTACTCACTCTGCCTGAAAATGCCTCTTCCGTAATGTGTGATGGAATTTTATTTTGCAAATACTCAGGGGCATTTGTGATGATTGTTTGTTGTTAATAACAATAATAATTCAAGTGCAACAATAAAGCTAATTGTCTGTTCACATCCTTGTATTCTATTTTAGATGATAATATGACTTGTTTCCAGCCTGGTTCAGTACTCCTATCCAGATACCTGAAAGTAAGCCCAATTGAACTCAGTGGAGCGTACTTCTGAGCAGACATATGAAGGATGGTTTTGTAAATGATATTAATCCTTACTCTGTCCAGGAGTTTGCCATTTAAAAGAATAAAGCAAAAAATAGAATACAGTACATAAACATTGTTATACTTGGTGGGAGGGAAATACTGTATTTCCCAGAAAATAAGATAGGGTCTTATGTTAATTTTTGCTCCAAAAATGCATTAGGGCTTATTTTCAGGGGATGTTTTATTTTTTTTATGTACAACAATCTACATTTATTCAAGAACAGTACAGTCATGTCATCTTCTGGTTGCTGCACAGTGGTGGAGGGCGGTGTTTCACTTAACTAGGGCTTATTTTGGGGGTAGGGCTTATATCACGAGCATCCTGAAAAACCTTACTAGCACTTATTTTCAGGTTGGGTCTTATTTTCGGGAAAATGGTAGTATAAATTGATATAAGATGTTTTCAAGCAGATTGTCACAAAGTGGTCTACTCTGGAAACATCATGCCCAGAAAAAAACAGTGTGGCTGTAATAGCACAGTGAGATATAGCACAAGCAGTTAAGGGATACAATGTAAAGTCTGATCAAGTAATATCAATCAGACTTCATGGAAGTCTGATTGGTATTACTTTTATTCAAGTCTGTACTCCAACTCCAGAGCTGGAGTCCCGAAGACAGTTCGTGTCGTTCTGCTAACTCCTGTGACATTGCTGGAACCAGTTGTATTGGCTCTTGCCTTTCCATTGGACCATTTCAGCAATGTGGAGAGGGGGATTTGCTGCTTGGGTAACAGCCTATCCTCCATACTACTTTACCCAGGCTTCATGCTCTGGAGAGGATACTTCTCGATACAGAGCATGTTACCATAGTCTCTCGAGACTGAAGGATGCCTATGATGATGTACTCCAACTACAGATGTTGAAGGAGCAACAATGGAAAGCTTTTGTGGAAATGTCCAGGAAGAAAATGATTCTACCTTAAAACAGAAAATGGTAATAATCATGGGTGACTGGAATGGAGAAGGAGGAAATAAAGTGTAACCAAACACTGTTGGAGAAGTTTTCTGAAGAGTAGGGAATGAAGCAGACAAGTAGTGCATAGAATGTGAAGTGTGCAATTTGTTTCATGATTCAGGCAGCCTAATAGATGACTGTATGTGTGGGCATTACTGAATTACTGAATATAAAAATAAAGTAGACTACTTGACTGAAAGCAGAACATAAGCTCTATCTCTTAAAAAAAATAAAAACAGGAGTGGACTGTAGCACAGACCATTAAAAGTTAATATGATTAAGTATGATTACTGAATATAAAAATAAAGTAGACTACTTGACTGAAAGCAGAACATAAGCTCTATCTCTTAAAAAAAAAATAAAAACAGGAGTGGACTGTAGCACAGACCATTAAAAGTTAATATGATTAAGTATGATTAAGCTAAAGAAGCCACTGGCAATGGTGCGGCTAAAAAAATATTGTAAATAAAATGAAAAGTCAGGGGCAGCTATGGTCTGAATAGAGGTGAAGACCTCATTCTGAAAGGATGAAGGAGACATCAGACTCCTATGAAAGTAGTGACAGACTCAGTTAAATCAAATTACTTTGCTTTCAGTGGGACTCTCTCTTTACTCATCATTCCAGGATTGTTATACCCAAACTCATCAACCTAGGGGGTCACACTATATGCTACAGATGGCATGTCACTAGAATTTGAAAGAATGTTGGCATTCTAGAGATGTCCTTCCAACAGACCTGGAACAATTGTAATTACAAATACAATCTGGTTTACCTCACAATGGCCCATCACAAAACAAAATGGACTCATATGCAGACTAGAGAAGATATGAAAAGCTCCTCCTGTTACAATC